TTAATTTGTCAGGTAATTCTGTTACACCTTGTGAACTTAAAAGTGTACAGCGTATGCATACTATCAATGTCGCATTCACCGGCCACAATCGTATAACATATTATCTTAATGTTTATTTTGTAGTGCAGTCTTCGCAGAAACATAAATTATAAAAACGAAACGAACTGTACAAGGGATCTAATTTTCTGAGTTCTAARCACACAAACCTGTGTTTATGTAATCATCGTATAGTAGAGTTTTAAGGCTTAAGATCGCGAGTCGTTAAGTTAAGAGGCAATAAGGCCATAGACCAGGCCCGGCTCAAGGGGTAGGCGGCATAGGACCACGCCTATGGCGGCATTTTTTAGGGGCGGCATTTAACATTTTTGTAGTCAAATTCTAATGAAATGTTTACATTTTTATTAATTTTAGATTCTGAGCGGAGCGATGAATGTATTGACTTTACCATGATGTGTGTTTTTATTTTTTATTTTTTTGTTTCTCATTATGTTTTGGGGCATTAAAAATGCTTCGATTTTCGACTTCAGTATTTATTAATCTAATTAATTGTTAATTTTATGTAAATAAATAAAATTAACTCAAAATTAAGACTTTTTCAGTATTGTTTATGTAAAAAAAAAAATTTGATGTAGTATTTACATATAAGTGGCGACAAAACTCAAGTTTGCCTAGGTGAGTTTAAGCACTTGAGCCGGGCATGGCATGGACATGGAATAATATAATATTGTCACATTTCAGGAAAATACGACAGCATCATCTGCATGTACATTAATAGTGCAGTTCTACGTTTGTTCTTTGATTCTACTYGCGATGGTACAGGTAAACCAGCTGATAACCAAAGAGTTGGAGCTATAAATAATCATCAAGTGTTTCCGTGTCCTAGACCGGCTAGACGAATAACGTCGCTAACATTGAAACATAACCGCAGACAGACTGATCGGCCCTTCTAAAAAGTAATCTGAAAAATAAAATTTAAGATGAAGCAGGCTACTCCCATATTTTACGTCTCTTACCCATATATGTATATACGAGTATAGGTATAAACATGAAATTATCCAGAAAATATGTTATGTTTTTTCATTCATGTATTCGAATATTTTCCATTTCACTGCACTCCAAATTATACTTCTATACCTATTATACAACTTCAACCGCTGTAGTTCGTCGTAGGTTACAAAATCTGTTTTTTCGATCTGATTTATTTTTTATTTTTTTATCTGTACAGAAAAAAATATCAATATGTTATACACATAGACTATGACTTAGGTATAATATAGGTACCTGTTATAAAATGTACGCTATGTCGCTGTAAAAAGTCAACATATACATAGGTACCATTTACGACTCGATCGTTTCTTAAGATGCAATTTTTACCTCTGATTAGAAAGTCCTTCGTAAATATTGCATTGATGTGATGTACAATATTGTACATGCACTTGTTAATTTTTTTTTTTTATTAAACGAAAATACCTTCGGCGACATAATAGGCCAATGTGTTACAAAATTTTAATTTCATTGGGTTGAGATTACATTATTTACAACTATATTATTTACAATTTYCATATTTTATTTTGTAGTACACTTGTTAATTGTTAAGGTACGTTTATGAAAATCGTTCGTAAAAATATGATAACTAAAATATAGTCAAAAAACTTCTAAATGCCCGATTTGTATGTCTCACCATACGACATTACAAGCGTTAGTATTACGCACTCAAATGTAATTTTCTAAATATATAAATACGTATTATACATATTAAGCTATTGTAAACTAACCGTTTTTTTTTTTTTCGAAAAATAATGTAGTCTAAAAGATTTTATTTACGACCCGAAATTCTTGGCAGCGTAATCTTCAAAGTTTATAAGCTTAAAACACTCGTCATAAATATTTATTCAGTTATTACTTATTTTACCGAATATATTTTTACAACCAGAACGCTGTTTCGAAAATTGTTTTCATAAAAATTTCACGGATTTTTCAGATTATAATATATACTGAAAACCAACTACTCTTTTAAAAGTAATATTTAATAGTTTAAAGGCGCCWCGTAAACGGCATAATCATAAATACCTTATAAAGTTATAAACTAATATTATTATTATTATAATTCAGGTTCTATATGTACGAATACTAAGGATAATAGTACCTATTAATAATGATGGTTTTGCAAGAACATTAAATAGATGTTATATTTAGTCAAATATACCTATTATATATATTATACTCAGACGACTTTACAAATATTATATAATATAATAATCACTATAATTTTAAAAACACCATGGAATCCCTATTCTTGTAAACTATAATCTTTAAACCTTAGTATCTACTAAAMATTTTACACCTTGAAAGCAACTCGTTAAATAYTATCTGTTTAACAATTTAGAATAAAAAAAATAGTGAATAAAAGAAGTGCAGACCCGCCATATTTGGCTTCATTACACTCCTTGAACGATATGAAAATCTAATAATTTGAAAATGTAGTCTTGTGTAGGTATGCCTTAAAAATTMCAACAATTTGAATTTGAATGAAAAYAAAATTAAAGAAAAAATCGGAAGTGAGCATAATTAGTGTATCATCCTATACATATAAGTGCGGTACCTGAAGTTATGCAATACGATTCTTGCAATCGAAGATTCGAAACGATAATAATAGGTTCTATTATGTAATATTATAAATGCAATTACTAATAAATTGATTGTTTAAATTATTATTTAAAAAAAAATCAAATTCCCACCAATGTATTTGTGTTATATCGACAACTAACAATTTGACAAAACAGACAGAGGCGCAGACACTATTTTATACACGTTTGTGTACTTGTCCGTGTTTTGTTTGTTCAAATATTAGGTAAAATAGGTATGTTTTTGTTTTTTTTATCATAATTGTACTTGCTTTTATTACGAATTTTTCTAATCAAAAATAAGAAGGAGTAAAAAGGATACATAGAAAGAGAGTTTATAATTTTCAATAAAAAGTGAATTATTTATGGTAATACTGACCATAAAATCGATTAATTAAAAGTTGGTTTAAAAAATAATTATTAGATGATTTTTCGATAAAAATAAGCTAAAATTAGGTTGATTAATCTATATCAGAATAGAATCTTTGAATTTTTCTCGAGTATACTCTCAAAGTCTCAACTCCTTATAATTATTATATTCGCCTCAACGTCGACTTACATCGTATTTAAATATTAATTCGTTTTATTTCGAAAACAATGATAAAAATCTAAAATCAAAAGATCTTAAAGAGGTATTTTCTAATCTCCGCTTTTCCCTTTGTTTTTAAGTCCTTATTGTAGATTTTGCRTTTTCGAGGAAAAAATTTTTCAAGKCAACAATATTATACACAAATACCAAASGTTGAAACGATACATAAAATTCTCATGTATGATTTATATAAAAACGTTTCAAGTTTTGATGAGCTGGGAACAAGGCGATGTCCGCGGGATGTCATATTTCCTCACACTGACAATAAGTCACAAAAMTACCGCCATATAAATTTGCMTAAATTTTTCTCCTTAAAACATGGTCGCCTACAATYCCAAATAATATTGTATTGTATTTTTTTAGTGCTGATGACTAATGCAATTAATCAAAATATTTTTCCAGACTTTATTCATACCTTATATTACTTGGTACGTACAACGAGGATATACCTACACTGTTAATACCAAACCACGGTAATCTACAGTTGGTAACCGCTTATATGTTTCACTCCATTACATATTCTAATTATCCAACTATAAACACGTTGTGCCTATATTTGATTGTTTGTGTTTTTTGTTTTTAGCTCGTTGATTTCTGATCTCGTTTGTTTATTTCCGAATGCCTGCAGAGTATTTAAAACTGATGCGAGTTCATGTGCATGCAAGTCAAAAGGACGTCATCCTGGAATGTTTTGTCCCGGCCCTACAAATGCACAACAACATGAATAACTTTACATTGGGAATTGATTACCATTTAAGGGGTTTGATACGGTCACTTATCTAAATCAAAATGTACCGATGATCTACTGTCAAACATGTGTTCACAGGCGTTAAAGTGGGATGAGCGCATAGTGACTCGGCCTCCAACCTCCGACGGCTGTTAAAAAGCTACGAGTATGCTTAAACAATCACTGTTTACGTTGTTACCTATTAGTAGGTACATGAAAATATTATATAGGTATACAACTCTTATGAAAACTATATGGAAACTTTGGTTCCCCTGAAATATTTTTTTCCACTTTTGAGTACTAACGGATCTATAGTAAWGCAAATATACATTTTAAAACAGATTTTACTTTGTTGTTATGTCWACTTGAAATCGATMTTGTAATTTTATTTCAGATTTCGTACATAAATTCGTAAAAATGTTTAATAATTAAAACRGATGATGTTTATGATTTTGAGTATCCGAAGTTTAAATCAAAAATCTTAAAATGTTGACTGATGATTGACCGGCGTTTTAACGAATTCAAATCAATTTTCAAAAATCTTTTCGGGTTATCAGTTCCATCGATAGGATTTACGAGAAATACATGATATAAATAATAGTGATAAATGAGCATTGAGCAAACATTTGAAACATTGTTTGCCGATCACTCCTTTTCGGCGGTGGTGACTTTTCACTTGAACTATCGTACTACAATCACACGTACTATATAATAATGAACACCTTGTATGCATACAATTACAAGACCCACRTGCACGCACATAACAAATTGCCTATACTGAACTCCTTAAAAACTGTCAATTTTCAATAATTTATTATATTTAATCGAGTGAATTATAAAATTTAAAGGGAAGATTATTGTCTAAGATTTGTTTTGATATTCTGATTTTGAGCTATGTTATGAGTAGGTATTTGGTATACATTTTCTAATGCTCGTGACGTGTGGGATTGACATCCTTCAAACAATTTTCCGCAATGACCGCTCGATATATCAATATTTCAATAATTATTTTATCTATGTCATGAATAGAATGTTTTTTACGTGTATATTTGTAGCACTAAATACATGATGATAATATTATGAAATTTGATTATTGAGCTGAAACTGTTCTTAATAATTTTGAATGTATTATTATTTTACAATATTTATATACTATTTCCCTAAACGTTAAATACACATTTTTCTCTTTCTTGTTCTTGCAGGTCAATGATTTTTTTTTTGTGCACTATCATTTAATAATACCGTTGGGATTGTCAATCGCGTGTACAACTACGGTATCCGCGAAAACCGCGACGAAGTTATTTTGTTACACGTCGGGAACCAGTAGCGTGGTGAGTGATATTTTTACTCAAAACGTGGTCGGATATTAATTTTATTATAATATTATCGAATAAATATTATTAACCGATGTACCTACTGGCTACTGTGAAGTGGAGTAGATAGATGGTCAATGTTCTAAGGGCAATAAATAAACTAGGCRTCTTAACTTATATTATATTTATAAAAATTCAAATATAATTATATACACATATTATTGTGAGGCACAGGGGCACTGCCACACTTGGTCCCTATGCCACTATATAAGTGAGTACAATAATATTTTGACTATTTTAGACAGTATATAATATATATTACTAGGCACAACAATTATGACGTGGACCAAGGACCAACCCTATCCTCGTGCAACACAAGTTATATTTTCCCGTATAGTTCCGGCTAAGTACCCGATTTAGATAGATTCGAGTTTACCACACCATTGCTGCCAGTTATTATGCACATTGCACAATCTCAGATGCTTGTAGTGTGAATTGAACCATTTTTTAAAACCAAAAGTAGAATATAATATATCATCTAAATATATATAGGTACCAAGTATGTGTGACACAAATGTGGCACTATGAAGATTTATATAGCGACGTATTTAATGCATATTGATATAAATTGTTATTTAGGTATCGGTAAAATCAAATATAAAGAAATAAAAAATATATATCTTTTATCAGATACTTTTTACATTCTGCTCAATGGTATTTGATTCGATCGTTCGATTAAAGAGTTGATTTTATTTTAAGCCATTGCAGTGTACAATTAAAATCAAATTTAATAAATCGTCCTCCATAAAGCCCTTATATATTGTTTATACGACTTTCGCACTTGTCTATACACATTACACACTCCCTGGTCCGTATATATCGTGATAATCATGTAATTGCGTAAATATTTTTTCGTTATACCCAAATATAACCTGCAATCACAGATCTCTGCGCCAAGATATCTTTCGTGTTTAAGACCCGTTCAATACCTATATAGGTATGTATAGTAAATATAAGCCAATAATTGACTATATGTCTATTACTAATTACTATGATATAGAGGAGAGGAAAGTCGACGGTTTTTCTCGCCGCCGCGGAAAGGTATAGCAATAAATGAACAAAACGCAACGTCTTTAAGGAATAACAAAATGTATTATATCATTCGCAATATTTTACACAAAAAAAAAGTAATATTCAATCGAAAAAAAACAACTTCTATCAGCGAATACATATGTTTTTTTTCATACATAATCAGTATAATAAAGCTCTAAAAAAAATACAATATAATATTTTTTTATTCGTATCGTAATAATATTAATAAAATATATTCATATAATTTCATTATTATATAAACGTATCTACGGTTTTATCAATTTTTTGTTTTGTTTAAAAAATTGTATCATTTAATTATTTCTTATCACCCGGGTAACATATTTTATACTCATCAATTAATATTGTTGATAATCTCACGTTTAAAAAAAAAAAAATATAATAATAATAAAAATAATAATAATAATAATAAATAAAGGAAGACTTAAGTAACGGAGCCCAGACGAGTATTTTTATTATTTTTTTTGAGAGGGGGCGCCTGTTTCGGATTTGCGAACGTACACTAAACGAACGGATTTATTAATAACACATAATCAAACGATTTAAACAAAATGCGCGAATGACCTATGCACTTTCTCCTGAACGCGAAGTGGGAATAAAGGGTTGGAATAGATGGCGTTTCTGTATTATTTTATTTAAAAAAAAACAAAAAATAAATAGACTAACGTAATACGATATAAATATTAGCCGCCCGGACAGTGTTCATGTTTTGTTTATTTATTTTCGTCTACACGCGTACCTATCACGTCTCGTTTTTATACAAAAATTTTATGCTAGAGTCGCTATTATAGTAAATATATTATTATCACACAGTTAAAAAAAAATTAAGTTTGGAAAAAGTCAGGAAGACTGTTCCTACATAGCTTAAACGTTATAGTCGCACTAAAAAAATGTTGTCTAGTAGCAGCGAAAAACACTATGAAAAAATTTTTAAACAACTCACTTTTATCATATCATATATTATATCGATATATATATAATATTATTATAATTATACAATCATATAATAATATCTGTATATACGTATTTAATAGGAAAACAATGTCTACACGGCCGCTGAATATGAAAACTCACGTAAAGTATTCCCCCTCCCTTGTGCTCCTGATTCTACTCGAAAAAAAAACGAAAACACAAAATAAAAACAATTAGTTAGAATTTATCATTTTTTTTTCTTATTTTTATCATTTTTTTTTTTTTTGTACTATCACTACCGATTAGCCTATACCCCAATCGGTTTTTCTATAAAATTGTCTACTTTAATATAATATATTGTCTATGTTGTTTAATATCATATAATATAATTAAACATTCTCATAATATTATATTTTAATTTTATACATACATATTATAATATAATTTTATACTCTTTTCATTCGATTAAAAAAAAAAGAGACCGATTGGATGAATTTAACACAGCCCTTGTTTGATTATCTACAGTTACGAAAAAACAAAAAATACAATATTCATAATATTAAATTATCATGATTATCTATGTACACGTCATTCATGATACATATGATTATGTGTAAAATGAAGAACATAATCAAATGCATACTTATTCGTATGAACATTGAAAAACGTATTAAAAACAAAACAAAAAAGATACATTTCATATATATTTATAGTAGTTATATAAAGTAATGATAATAATAATAATAATGAAAAAAAAAATAGATACAGAGAGAAAAACGAAAAAAACATTTGCGCGAATTGGTCGTTTATTGCACATAAAAATATAAAAATAAAATAAAATGGTCATTTTTTTGTAATTAATCTCCTGGACTGCATATAAAATAATAACACATATCGCACGTGATCGTGTGCACAAAAACGTAGTAAAAGGATAAGACGTACACCACACAGACGCGTCGTAAAGACAGGTATGTACTCGATTAAATGAAATAAAATATATACTTTAGGAGACAGTCGTATAAGGGAAAACAAAAATTTAATTTTTTGTTAGGTATGCCAACCACCTTTCCGGTCGTCGGAATACGACGGCGATGGCGGTTAAGACTCGAGCGAGGCGATCAGATTTCGGAACATTGCCGACTGCATCTCGCTGAACATGGACGCCTGTCCGCAAGACAGGTTCGTTGGCGACGTGGAACCGGTGGCCGACGACGATGCAGCCACGCCGTAATGCTGATGATGTTCGTCGAGCGTYGGGGGTGGTGGCGGTAGCGACAGCGACAGCGACGAACAGCAGTCTACTGATGTGGAGGTGGTGGTGGAGGTGGTGGTGGGCTGCAGCAGTACGTCCTGATGTTCGACGGCAGACGGCACCTGGCTGCCGTACAGGTCGAGCGAGTCGTCACAACACGCGTCCATCAGCGACCAACAGTCGGGCGAACAGAGGTCAGTGGCCAACGGGGTGGCGTCTGCTGGTGACGGGGTGGTCCCCGACACGACGGCAGCAACTGCGGCAGCGGCGGCCGCGGCGGCTGCCTCATCCGTTCTCAGTCTCTTGGCTGCAGGGTACTCATGCAGGTCCAGGTCCACCACGTTCACGTCCTCCTCCTCGCGCTGGTTGTTGATGAACTGCGACAGCAAGTCGTCCAACGGTTCATCCACGCACCGCTTCCGCTTGTTACGAGGTGACGACGAAGGCAGTTGCATCATTATAGACGCGATCGTGTCGTCATCCACGTCGTCATCATCCACTTCTTCGTCATCAACATCTTCGTCGTCCACTTCGTCATCATACCCATACGGTAACGGTCCACCCGGCGCAGTCACCGACGACTGCTGCTGTTGGTGGTGATGGAGGTGATGGTGTTGTTGTTGTTGTTGCTGTTGTAGTTGATGATGGTGATGATGATGGTGGTGGTTGTTATTGTGGTGGTGGTGTTGTAAGTGGTGGTGGTGTAGTAGGTGGTGGTGGTGGTGGTGGTGGTGGTCGGTCGCCAACAACTGGGACTGCGAATCCGTCAGCGGTTTATTGTTATTGTTGCTACTTAAATTGTTATTGTTGTTATTGTTGTTGTTGGCCAGGGTCTTGCCGGCTGTAACCGCGTTACCGCCAACTCCGACGCTGCCGGTACCGTTGGTGCAGGACGATTCCCTGAGGTTGGTGATGTCCACGAGCTGCGGGTTACCACCCGGGCCGCCGCAGGGTTGCGACTGCTGAGGACCATGGTAACCGTAACCGGCGGACGTCGGCGAAGGTGGAGAGGCGGGCGACGTCCGTCCCGTGGTCCGGTCGTCCCTGGTCTCGGCCTGCAGCCTCTTCACCGTGTTGTTGATCAACACCGACCGACACAGCGAACTCTCGGCGTCGTCGATCTTCTTCATCTTGTTCACAGATATCTTAAGCACCTTACGCCGCTCTTCTTTCAGCCGATACTTGGCACTGATCATCGATGGCCGCGAACCCGAGTTCCAGCCGTAACTCCTCCGGGTGCCTAACAGCTCGTCGATCTCGTCCATAATCGTAATGTTCTCGCTGGACTCAACGGGTCTCATGTCCACAAGCATTTGACGTGATTCACCAATAGCATATCATTCTGAAAACGAAATGGGAAAAAAATTGTTAAATGTCGGTTTAAAATAATATCGTTAGTTTGGAAATATCGTGTTTGTTACGAGACATTCATTCAAGAAACTAAATTTAAAATATTCAATCAGTTGTTGTAGTCGTGGCGGGACTGGGGTTGGGTGAAACAATTTACAAAAAAAAAAAAACGACGATCGACAATAATCAATTTTTACATCTCGAAAAGGGTTCGCAAACAGACGGATGGTAGGTATATAATATTATTCATTTTTGCCAACGGGTCAGGTATTTTTAATACACATAAATACCCCATCGGCGTCACATTATTGTGTGCCCATGCATGCCGCACCCCTATGTGCGGGAGACGACGACGGTGGTGGTTAGCACCCCTCGAGGAGGGTGTGTGGGAAACAAACCGAAATCGGACGTCCGTAATACAAATATGTAAAGAGAGAGGGAGAGAGAGTGACTACTGCTGCGTCGTGTCAAATAAACACAAGACTCTAATGCGCGCGCTGTGTGTAAATATTGTACAACAATAATAAAGAATAGGTTACATATAGGTACTTGTGACTTTAATACGTAATTTTAAGACTACGAGTAAATGCGCAGCGACGGTTGCAAGGCCTAGTCAATATTGTCGGTCAACATCTGCTGCGAAAAAATACGAAAATAAAAAATACTATGACGTAATAAAGACGGTGTAATAATGTGGTGGAAGGTTTTCTGCGTTGTTTTGTTTTATTATTTAAATCGATCACTTTTCAACTGCATGAAATAATTTCACAAAAATCGCGGCTTCGTGACAGTGATCGAGAGAGAAAATTTAACGCGTAAATATTGGTCGGGAGGTCATCGCATGTCGTCATCGCTGCCACTTGGAGGTTGCCAAGGCAAGGCCGAGACGATGTACACGACTTGCGCTACGCATCACAAACATACGCGTGCAACAAAAATCACCAACTCCGTGAAACAACAACACCATTGCAAGAATTCGTAAATGCCTACGAGTTGTGCACCAAATTGATCTATAAAGTACCCGATGAATATTTTATTTTAAGCCCGTCACCTAATGCAGATTTCCAAAGATATCGATTTAAAGGCTATCAATTCGTCGAATTACTCCGTTCGAGTATTTCGTCGGTAGAACCGAAGACGACGATATGTTATCATATTATCATATTATATTATTACCTATTTACGGATCGCCAACGAATCAAAATGTCAAAGAAAGTAGTTTGCTGTCGAAACATTAATCGCGTATAAAAAAAAATCTCAATACACACATACGGCATGTTATTATTGTTTTTAGTTGCAAAATGTAAATATACGAATTAACCGGAAAAGCTTTTAATCGACGTTACGATATTATATCTCGGCTTCAAGGTAAACCGTAAAAGGACATGACCGCAAGGTCGTAACGTAATACTGTTCGCGAACGATACACAACTATTGGTAATTGGTACCGAMGACCAGAATATCGTGTTGAGCAAGTACGAATTGTTAATACTTATTAGTTATTACAAACGAACCAATTAGCGCAAAACGAACAGATGACAGACATGATATATTATATAAACCATCATACCCAATACGTTTTGCGCTCTACCGGTGTGGGCGATGATATTGTAAACCTACCACAACCTTATACACGGTACTGTTCGATTCGGAAATCRTTTTGGGACGCGAATTTCACGAGATCTAAATGAATACGGGTTGGGCAAGTGGAATGAAAAAACAACAACAACACGGTCGCAAGTCGACAACACTTTCTCTAGTCCGTCCGAGCGGCGCGGCGCTGCGCAGTTGCCATTCCGGCGCGTGACGAATGATCCGAACAAAACGCAAAACCGCAAGTACGYGGCGGCGACAAACCGGTGGCGGTGGGTAACGAGTGAAAAATCGAGTAAACGCCAAACGGGTAAACGACCGTCCGACTGACGTTTTAAGCTGCTCCGCACAGGCGTGTTTGTGCGTCTTTTTYACGAAATTCGATGCAATTTAAACACGACTGCGTATAGGTACAATATTATACTACAGGAGAAACAACAACAATAACAGTTTGAACGACACTCACCGCTGAAACGGCCGCGGTAGCCCCCCGCGCGCGACATTGACCCAGATAATAAAATTTGTCATTTTTTCGATTCCCCTTCGCCGCGGAAGGAGGTAGAAGAGGAGTAGGAGGAGGAGATATTCTCTTCTCGCGTGCCATCACTACGACGACCGTGTTGTTATTATTGTCGAATTAATATTTGGACGGATTTCCGCGAAAAACAGTCACCGCGGGGAAAGAACGCATAATATTATTATGACAATATCAAATAGGCACCTGATCTCCGCCAAAAAAGTTGTAAAGATAATATGAAAACACAACGTAATAAAAATTTTGCGGTCCGCGATCCGCGAATTTTTTCCCGCCWCGAAAATTGGTCCGAATAAAAAAAATTGGAAAAAGTCAATCGACAAGAGACGTGTCGACGGATCGGTGGCGATTATGTAGGCCACCTCACCGCGGAAGACGCGGTTGACCGCAAGTCGTGACAAGACGGCGTCGTATCCGCGAACGCGGAGGGGCGTCCGGTTTTGTCAGATTACTAGTCTTTGACGGTGGCAGGGGCGGGTACGACAACGACACTGCTTTCCGCAGGCAAGGCCGCCTATTAGGCCGCCGCCGCCCACAGGTGTATTAATATAATAACATAATAATAATCGTATAGATGTCGATTTGGAAAGCGATTATACTTTTATGATTAACAAATTATATTACACCAAGTATGGACGAGGCGCGGGCCAAATTCGAATTATTCGTAATAAAATCGCTACAACGGTCAACGGAAGAAGACATGTTATTAAAATGGTCGAGACGGGAAAAAWTAGCCAAAAATTCGTAAACTTGCGAAAACGTCAAATTTGCACATTTCGAGATTTAATGAAAAAAAAATTTTAATTTAAGGCGACTTAAAATTTTCGTGCGAAAAAAAAAATTCGATAGGCCAATCACCGCCACGTGCGGCTGAACTTTGACGGCGTCGGTGTAGGAGACGTCCGATACACGCAGACTCGACGGCGCGATGAACTGGTTGATATGGAAATCGTCGGRAGTGTGGGGTGTTTTAAATAAAAATTCGACTTACCGGTGAATCCGGAGCGGAAGAACGGTAATCCGAAAATGTGTCCGGAACAAACGTGCACCATTAATATCGTCAACGATCTCGGCGCGAACCGGGTATGAACAATATAATATGATTGAATTAAAAAATAAAATTACGCACAACCGCCGGTATTCGAACAAAAAAAATAATTTTTTTTGTAAAAAAAATATTATTCAAACACTGCAACACACGAACAAACAAACACACGGTCTACACAAAAAAAAAAAAACAGTAATATCAATATCAATTAGTCGTATGCGATTTTTAGCGATCGGTTGCTCGGAAACACGAAAACAACGCACCGCAAAACACCAAGACGGRCGGACACGACGACGCACACGGAGTGGCGCGCGAAATTAGACTGGGACAGATTATGGAATCAATTACACACGCGCGCGCTCTCACAGTGGGCGCGGGGCGGGGCAGCGGCGGCGGCGGCGTCGGTGGTCACGGAGCGAACAAGCGAGCGAGTAGCGACGTCGTCGTCGGGCGGCAGCCGTGTGATAAGCGAACGGAACGAGAGCTGGCACTTGTGGCCGGCAGACGGGCAGAAGGCGAACTGGAGAATGTGCGGCGCGCCGTGCGCGCGTCGTGTGCGTTTTTTTCGTTCCCTTCGCCGCCGCCCCGGCCGCCGCACAGCTGTATCCGTCGCCGAACGGTCGGTGGGGGGAACTCCGTTATGTGAGTCGGCCGCCGCCGCCGCCGCTTCGTAAGTTTGTGCATGCGTGTGCGCGCGCGTTACCGTGTGCTCTCGTGACGTCACACCAGCCGCCCGACGATCGGACCGTAATGTGGCGCTGCCCGTCGGAGCGCCCGACAACCAAACGCGACAACGGCAATGACGGGCGGACGGGCGCCGCTCGCTCCTCACCCAACCGTCCGCACCGTCATTACCATCGTCGGCAGGACGCTCGCCAAACGGATCCGGCTCGTCGCGCCAAAGACAATATTAATATATTATATTATAATAATATATTATCTTTTCATTTATTTATAAACGCTGTATGATATAATAATTAATAAATCATGTGATTAATTAATTTTACGAATAATATTTTCGCGGCTTTGCAACACACGGACAGACGTTCCGTGCAAACAATAATTCGTTTTCGTTTTTTCTTCCGTTGTTTTTCGCTGTCGCTCGAAACACGCATCACGTTTTGAAGTCAACTCTTCGTAATGGCCTTAATACGCAGAGTTCCGGGCAGTTGCTCATTCTGGCGTTTAAATTTCAAAATATTGTCTTTTATAAGCTCGTGTGTCACGTGTACAGCACACGGGCTGCTAAAATTTTGCGACCCTAGCACGTAACTATAGTAATCGCATTGTTAGTCGTTATTTCGTTAGTTACTAATAAATAATAACTGTAATAATATTACTCAATATTTAGTTTGCTATATGTTATGAAATTGAATATGATTTGATATCATATTAAGCAAATATAATTTTTTATACATATAAAGTATCATGTCATTATCGTTTAAATTATCTTTTCATTTATTTTCCCTTGTTTTATTATGAAATTTTATTCATATTAATTTCATTTTAATAACCATTTTGAACTATTGCACCCAGCTTAAACTTATGGCTTTTGGGAGAAATCCTCTCTGTGTTTTATATCGTGCAATTTTCTTAAATTCTGTACAATTATTATTATTTTTACGTTTTATCGTTAGTTTGGTAGTTATATTTTTTATACACAAGCGTTTACGACTAATTTAAAACAAAGTAAGACTTACGTTTTAAATTTTCATTTGTATACACAACATATTATCAACGAAAGATTGGCATAATGATGGGACGTCAAATGTAGTGTGTATTTCATCTGCTGCCCGTAGTTGTTTTTAATTTTTAATATGTGGTAATTGGTTGAGTATACATTTGATTTGAGATTTAAATTATCATTATTCATTAGGCATGATACGAGCACACAAATCGCAATACAATAAAATACGACGGCGAATAAAGCAAACACTTCAACGACTACGTACAATTGCACATAATAGGTACCTGGTATTATGTTTAATGTGGGTCTACTTATCTACATGAAATTGTTTTTTTTTTTTTTCAAGTGAAAGAGTCGAATATATTATATAATTATGAATAGCCATACAATAAACCTTTATAATAAAATGTTTCAATACAACAATTTTTCCCATGTATAGTGTAAAAAAAAGTCATTTGTATAAAAATTAATTTAAATTCCTGACGTGTTCGAGAAAATAAAAATTGAACGTGAATAACTGAATTATTCAAACCATATAATATACAGACAACAACAGTTTTAATGGATTTTCGAGATAAAAATCAGACTTATACTTGTTGTAGTTGTTAATCACTAGCTATATGGCGTCGTCGTCGTCATTTACCCAGTTCAATATATAAAAATAAATCTATATACAATAATATACTTACAGTATTTTAAGTATTCCAAAGGAAAAAAACACAATGGAATGCGATTAGTAATATAGCCAAGCCAGTAGTTATTTATCTTTTATCGCAAGTATCTGCGACAGTACCTACAACATAAAATATTATATTATATAATATTATTACATTATTAAATTATATTATATTGTAATCACCGTAATTCAACTAAAAATAATTCGATCGAGATGCATTCGGAAATTAGAATGTGTATTCTTATAGTTATACAATTCATTAACACATAATATACATAATACATATTATATAATAATAATTAATTAATAGTAATATTATGTACGATGCATTACAATAGTTTGTATTGTATTATCATCTAATAAGTAATAATGGTAATATAATATAGTCATATATTGTCATATAATCAAATAGAACGAAGTGTGAACGATAAATTTTGCTCGCGTGATATAAATTATAATATTATATTTATAACTTATAAGTTATTAGTACTTAGCACTAATGTCCTTGCGTTTCAACGGCAACAGTGCAACTTCGATGCGCGAATGATAATTCGGCACCGGTTTTATGGAGGACGGGATGATAACAAATGATGGAATTCGATAACCATTGTGTACTTATAAGCGTTTATCGAATTTTCAAAGACGCATAAAATATTTGTTTCGCTAATAATTTGTACGATGGCAAGGAAAGAAAAACCACAAAATTAGGAGCGGAAAAGCATTTTTTTTTTTCATTTTTCCCGCGCTGTTTTGCGCATCACACTTCCGCCCGACGCCTCGTACGCGGATATAATACGCTCTTTAGTATTTATACACACCCATGTCATTGTGATGATGTTGTTGATGATGATGATAATGATAATAATAATATCATAACGTCATACAATTAATATCCGTCGCTGCGGTGTTATTAGATATTATATTAAACGGGTAAGAAGAAACGAAAACAAAAGACATGCGTCCGACAAACGACAAATATATTATGACACATTTTAATCCTCCTCAGTCGTACATCCATTCGGTGCGTTTATGTGTATTTCTCTTTCTCGCTCTTTCAGGTCTCTAAGTTTCTCTTACACTATCCGTCTCTCTCACTCTCTCTCTCTCGAAGACGACGACGACGACAACGACAGTGTATGTATATAATATTTTTTTTTATAATATTATTCCTGTCGGCTGTCGGTTTTCTTTATTATTTTTGTCGATACACCACACTGTCCACACTTATACATTTTAATGTTAATAATAATATTCCTATTTAATCGACAGCAGCGGCACGGCATAACAACAATAATAAAAATATTATTTTATTATTTTTATTTGGTGGTCTGTCTTTCAGATCACGAAATATACCTACATCGAACACACCATACAAACTTCGATCCAAACGCAAAAAATAAAAGCCGAACGACCGTTTTCATAGACATAATTATGATTTAATATCACAATATTATTAATTTCTGTTATATAATAATATTATTGCGCTCGTGTGTGTGTGTGTGTGTGTGTGTCTGCGTGTGTGTGCACGACCAACCATGCCGCCTGAGGGTAGTCCGCCGCTGTCAGACCGACCGGCGTACACCCCTGTATTATATTATTATTGTTATTACGAAAAATCGACGACGGGTGTCATTGCTGTGGTTGTGATGGAGGGGAGTGGTGACTACACAACAAAGACGACGGCCTCTGCTCCTCTCCGAAGAGTGAATCACGTGTTTACTTTTACGACACCACAAAAAGAAGACCTGCCGCTGATCCCGCTCTTGTACCCATTATTCACGACGACAATTTATAATATTGTATTGGGGCTCGTACATTTTTGTCAGATCGAAAACCAAATTGACGGCCGTAATAGAAATAACAGATTGTGTTATACAATATAAATATCATCCAACGAGAATTAAAAGATTATTATTATTCGTTTTTAACACACATTTACACGATACGTACAACATACAGTCGACAAYACCTAATGACGTAAATAATATAATACAATATACGCTTCAACGTAATRTATACACAGCCACAGGCGTGTTCGCTGGCATTGCTTGTGTAGCATAATATTATTATAGTGACCGGACATACTACCTGTATGCCTGTATTGTTGRCCAATCTTTTTTTTTATTATTTTATACAGTATACACACGCCTTGTGTTTTATTAATAAAAATATTACAGATTTAGACGAATTTTTAAAGCAACTTTTAATGCAAAGCTTATTTTTTTATTTTTTTTTTGAATGTTTTTATAAATAATTGCACGTATTACTAATGATAATTATCGTTTTGCACTAGCTGCGAGATTTTGCAGTGACGGGTAAACAATTTAAATTTCAAGTTATCTGCGTCACGGCCATTTTATAGTTTTTTTTTCATTTGGTCTAACAATATATGAAACTTTACGCGGATGGAAAAATCATACCGTTAGTATATAAAGTCGTTGAAAATATTRTTTCGCATCATCGTACGATTTACGTCATGGCGTAATCTCAGTAAACACGCGCGTGCGCGTTTATCGACTCGTTAATATTATATTATATGCCACATAATATACGTTATAGAATAACGAATAGTGGGCGATAGTGTACGTACAATATGAGTAACGAGTGCGGCGCTAATTAAATAAGCCTACATAGGTATACAATATGTACAGTGATAATTATAATCGTATAYCAGCAAAATATATAAACAGGTACTTACCAAGTAGATTACTTAGGTACTTGTAGAACATTTTACAAAGAAAATAATATTATAACGTACACAATACAATATACATGTGCATTGTGACATTGTGTGTATCTGTGCGTAGTGTACATTCGAGCTAATGGCCACCATAAATCATTCAAACGTTTTATAAAGCAACTGAAAATAATATGTTGTTCGCACCGCAGTTCGAAATATTATTTTAATATTGTTCGCTGTGCAACGTCCAAATTACGACGATTTAAATGACTTAAATCAAATCGACCATAAAACGTAGTCATTGTGGACACGATTAAAACTCATTCATTACCAATCTACTATTAGAAGTCTACTATTGCGCTGCAATAATAATGTTGTATACACACGTGCGCGATTTTAAACACAGTTTAACAATTATTTTATTATGACCGTTTTATTCCAATAGAATAGTATGATATTATGTCGAATGAAATTTTAATA